CACCTCATACATCCTGTCCAACCTTGCCAACCCTCAACTAATCACAACCCAGGAGTCAGGTCCTCCAAAATAATGAGACTTGACAAGTGCTGGATTTTTATCTTGGAGCCTTCACACTTTCTAAGTCTGCCATGGCCACAAAGGCTATTTTCCCCCCTAATGGCAGCAGCTATTCCAGCAATAACTTGTTCCAGCACCAGGATACTTAAGAGAAAAGGCAAATGACACAAGGCCAAGGAATTTGTAATACCATTTGTTTCAAAGGTCAGCTCTATTTGGTGCTGAGGGAAAATTCTGTTCTTACTTCCACTAGTGAAATTCCTCGCTGCTGACGACCTCAGAAGAAGTGGCATTTATATAACTAAAAGCAAAATTTGGCCTCTTGCTCATCATGCTGTTTCTCTCAGAGGTAGCTTTGTCTTTTTCTAAGAACATCGCCTCCAGCTAAGACTCAGGCTACTTGTTTGACAATTTTTTTATTGGATTATTTACTTTTTACACTAGGTCAGGGACTGAACCTTGGGTTTTGGCCCAGGAACAGCTGTCACTGCTGTGGCCCAGGTCAGGCATGTCTCAGCATTCAGATGACACCCCGTCCGAGTCCTCCAGCTCATCCAGGGCCCATCTTGTTTGGAGCCAGGGAATGGAAAGGAAGAGGAGAACTACTTCTGCCCTTCTTCCAACTCTTAGAGATGGTACCAAGTGGACCAGGGAAGTGGACAACGTTTCCCCTTCCCCTCTTCTGCTGAATTTTGGCTTAAGGCATCTGGTGAAGACTCACCTTGCCTCTTATTCAAACAGCCCAGGGCTCTAAGCTGGCCCTACAGGTTCCCCAGGGCTTCAGATCCCAGGCCAAGGTATTTACAGTTTGAAAAACAGGTATATTAAGGAGTCAAGTGCTGGATTCAATGCCAGATTTAATACAGAGGGCGATTGTAGCCAAGTACTAAGGTCTTAATCTTCTTTTCTAATCAGCAGGCCTCCCACTCCATTTCCCCATTTGCCATAACCTTGCACGTTATCTTGGTGGAACCACCCTAAGACCATCTGTGCCCTTTAGTGCTACTTAACAGTGAATCATATTCCAATGCACCATGTTGGTTTCGGGGTTGTCCAGCCTGTCCAGATCATGATGCAGTTCCCTGATTTCTTTTCAAAAGCAGGGAGAAGAGGCACAGAGCATAGAGCTGTGACCTAGCTGGAATGTTCACCTGAACCCAGGAGACTGGAAATACTTCCAGGTCATGCAATTTGGGAACAGCAAGACCTATGATATAATTAATTACATTATTATTTCATGTTTTGAATTTGTTTTCCACTTGAAAAGTAAATCACAAAGAAAAATGGCTATGGTCCATGCATGGGACAAAAAAGAGGCAGCACAGTGTTTATAGAAACCAAATGCTTTTTGCCTCATTGGTTTGTCTCATAAAGCTTATTGAACCAAAAACAACAACACATGTAACAAGGTAATATTAAAAGCTAATCATTCGTGGGCACTGCGAGCGGAACTGCCTGAGCATGTAATCGGATCGCTAGGAAACCCCAGCACCTTTGTACAGGGCAACGGGGCCTTGTGAGGTCCTGGCTCCACAGTCAGGAGTAAAGAAGGAGCCTTTTCTCTCCAAGGAACCCCTCCGGGCTTCTTCTGGTCTGCTGGTTATTGTGCCACACCGCTGGTCCAGCGACACAGGCCACACTTTGCTGAGATGGCCAGGAAAAGGTGTTTGGATGAGATTAAAATCTCCTGTAATTAAGATTACTGCTAATGCTGCAATCGTGTATGGATCCACAGGGGTCAGTCCTTGCCCAAGAGCCTCCCTGGAGCAGGGCTGACACTGGGTGTGCTGGACGCAAGTGTATGAATATTTTGTCCACAATTTCCGGAATGAATCCTTATAGGCATTTGCAGTAATCACACAGCAAGGAAGGTGTTAAAACCACACCTTGACATAATCTGACTCGATCATTGTGTTCCCCTGAAAGGCAGCTTGACAAACCAGATGCCAAAACCGAGCTCAGGTTTCTGAGCTGAAAGGTGCCGTGTCCTGGCAGGCTTAAGGCAGGTAATATTTTGTTAACGCCAAGAATTCAGGGCTTAAACGTGTTGCATAGGAGGAAGCAGATGAAACCTGCAGATTCCTCAGGACCTGCTTCCTTTCCTCAGATACAGGCGGTAGATCAACACTTGAAACAGGAATCTTAAGTAGCCTATTTACAATTCGATAATCAAAATTTAAGGTCAGAACACCCAGAAACTCTGCTGTTTGATGTAGGAATGCCAATTTGGCAAGTTAAACCTCCCTCTTAATCCTTCACAGTCATTCTGCCTTTAAACCCCGTGTAACTAATTGGCAGAGCAATACCACCACGCCAGAGACAGAAGTGGGACAGGTCACTTAGAGTCCACGCTGTACGGCTCCCTTCCTGCCCACCGCGGGCAGCAGCAGGGGCTGCTGGGCAAGGCACTGACCTCCCACTGGAGAAACCAGTTTCCTTGTCCTCCTCCACCACAGATCTCCTGTGTGAGGCCTTCGGCAAACAAGCTGCTTATTAGCGTCTCTGTGTCCGAGTCTCCTACCTGTGAAATGAGAATAGCACTTCTCCTCTTTCCAGGAGGACCTTGAGGACAAATACAGTAAATTCTGAGCTGTTCAGGTTAGAAGGGGGTTTAGATAAGCACCATAAAAGAAACTTATCCCAGTGGGAGAAAGGGGAACAGTCACAATGAACTCAGCTTCTAAAGAGAAGTGTAAATACTTTCCATTGCTGTTTGCTGATTTTAATACATCAGATTTGCTTTTTTGTCTGATAATTTTCTTCATGTCTCAACAAAGACCAATGTGTCATGACCAATTGTACAAAATAGAGCTAAGAAAGAAATAAAACTTGTTCTCACTTTCAAGTTTTTCTTTTCATACGACTGAACAGAGCAATGTCCTATTTGCATCTCAGTTTGCAAACTCGTGGTTCACCGTTACGCACACGAGAACATGGAAGCCTTTTGGGACAGCCTGGCAATGGAGTGGGAAACGCATCATGACTCTAGTGTGCAGAGACCAGCTTCACAGAATAAAAATAAAAATAAAAATGCAACACACAAGCTATCAGAGTTTTAAGCTCTCTTAATATTACTTTTTCAAATTCAGATGGGAAAATGATGAATGTCAATGCTTCTTAAAGATATAAAGCTAATGCAAAAATATGATGACTAGAGGAAGTGCAACAGGAGTTATCACTGTTATCTGCTTTTAGAAGCTAAAGAGAAAGACGACACTGGTCTAGTAATTTTCCAGTGTTCTTTCTTTAACTTTCTATGCAGGGCACAGATTTGTGTCATCACTGGTTCTGCCTGTCTCACCTTCTTACAGCTGTGTTTTACAGCTGCATTTTAAAGCAGCGTTTTACAGGAGCCTCACTTTGCTCACTTTAGGAGTTAGGACCAACGTACACAGCCAGAGAAATCACAAGAGTCTGAACAGACTGAACCTCTAGGTATCAACAATCACTGCAGGACCTGTGTCACTTTGGGTTATTTCCAGGCATTCAGTGAGACAGAAGAAGAGCCAGGACTTCTGTGAAGCACTTTCTGTGCATATTTTCTAAGCAAGTTCTAACAAAGATTTAGCTTTCTGAAACGTGCACTTTCTCTTTAGCAAGCAACCGAAGCAAACAAACTCTTGCTTCTCTCTGTACTCTTTGACAGAGAGTCTCCTTAGCGAGAGCTTTTTTACCAGCAGCTACTACACGGTGGCATCTGAAATACCATGAAATATTTTCTGATTGTAAGAGTAGGGAACTGTATGGCATCTTAGAATTCCTGCACTGTAGCTCCACATCAAATAGAGAAGTCTGATGAAAACACTGTTTGGCACCTCTCATCTCATTCCTTCCACTTTAAATCCACTGAGATCAATTTTCTCCCTATGCCCTCCCCTACTCTTTCTGTTCTTTCAAGAGTCTAAGCTTGTGTTCTTCAAGGTCATAGGCTTGGGGGACTTTTTGTACAGGGAAGACTGAGATTTATTAGAACCAACTTGCATATATTGCCTATAATACCTCTCACAAGGGTTATGTGTTGTTCCCGTAGCAGTATTTGCATACAGACATCCCAGCAAGCACATACCATTTCTGAGTCACACCTATCTTTCTAGCTCCCTGTATAAAGTAACACAAAAGTAACTACTGGCTTGTTTTCTCCTTTTTTTTTTTTTTTCTTGAGCAAATGCAGCTGCTTGCTCTGGTGTGTCCTTCCTCAGATCTTCCTCAAAGTACAGCAAAACTCTTTGCATACTAGTGGAAAATTTCCATTCTTCAATTCCTTTTTAGCTGTGAAAGCCATTCCACTGTACGTTTCTACCTTTATCTCTTCTCTGCCCTTTGTTTGTTTTTGATACTTAAGAGGGAAGTTCAGCCTTTCCTCACTACACAAAGAGTTTCCATGCTACGCTAATCACACTCTGCTATCTGAACTTCTACTAGTAGCTTAAGAGACCTGAATAGCACCCATCAATCATGATCTTTACACCTTGGGTTGGAACTCGGAGGTTAGATACAAATGCCAACTGAACTTGGACAGCTATTTAATTGACACCACGTGTGGGATTCATACTCTGTAGGGTGAAATAGGCAAAAAGTTGCTATCTTTCCCCCACCATGCTTGCTGGCTGCAGACTGCAGCTGTGGCATTGCGTTGTCTGCGGTGTGCAGTGCACATCCATTGCAGAATGAAGGAGAAACCACACCAAAGATCAGGGCCCATTTGCAGTGTTGTTGTAGCCCACCTTACTCTTCTCCTCACGAATATTCATGCTGTCACACGGAAAACCGCTGTACAAAACCAGCGCCAGAGGAATTGTGCCTTCTCAAGAAATCCTAGCTTCAATTTTATGTTTAGCATCAGATCAGTCAAAGTTGCAAAGTAGTTTTTTTGATCCTTTCCAAAGACAGAATTAATAACCAGACTATTGCAATAAATACATTAAGTAACTTTAATGCTGCTTAGCATAAGTCTTTGTTATATACTTTCATCCGTATAATCCAGTGTAAATGCTTTTTATACAATACGAAGTATTTTGAAGAGTCGATGGCTCTAGATAAAACATCCACGAAACAAGTTTCAATGCAAGTAGAGAATTAGAAAAAAAAATAAAAATCAGCCAGAGTACAAAATCTTTGGAAGATAAAAATTTCAGAAAACAAGATACATGAAAACATTCCATTGCAGTAATTCAGGATGACCGAGTGGTTCCAGCAGTTGGAGGGGCTGCCACTGACTGCTGTCTCATCCATAAGAACCTGTCCTGGGTCAGCGGGGACTGCAGGGCACTACTAGGGGTGGCTGGCTCTCAGAGATCCTTGTACCTGACAAGTCTGATAAAGTAACCTTCACAGCAGACACCCTTGTTGTCTCAAGGAGAATGAGTAGGCCTGGGAATGAAGAAAGTCCTGTCCTCCCTCACCCAACCACTGCTGGTCTCTGCAGAACATGCAGGTGCACTGGCAAGATGCGGGGAGCAAGTTGTTCTATGAATGACAGGAAGCCTTCGTTCTCCCAGGGTATCAATTTGGCACAATTTCACAAGTGTAAAAATTATTTACTAGCATTATAAAAAAAAGTTTCACCATCTGCAAAACTGCATGAGTGTTACGGACCAGACTGCAATGCTATTGTTTAGTTCTGTTAAATTAATTTTCTATGTATAATATCGCATGTCATTATACAACAGGGATATGCAAGAGAGGCTCAATTAAACTTCATTCGTGCCAAAAGCAAACTCCATAGTGGGCGGATGGCTTTGCATTCCACTGCTTTCAGTATGTTGCAGAGGCATCTGTCCAAATAAAAACACCTTTACAACACTGCAGGTTTAGAATGCAACAAATAACACACTGCAAGAATCGAGGTCAGACATTATTCACCATTTGGTTACATTCCATTCAAATGATATTGACTCACATAATAAGTAACAAATGCAGCACTTGAAGTAACAAAAACAAAGTTGTACTCCAACAAAGTAAAACAGTGCAAATATTCCTGTTCAACAAAAATATACCATGTATATACACACACAACACAAATGCACTGTTTTGTTTTGCAGTATAAATAGATCTGATTAAGCTAAATTCCTAAAACTAATGAACTATTGACTGACAGTTCCAAACAGTTTCCATCTATTAAGTAACACAGAAAGCTTTAAGGCCCAGATGACGCTAGCTGGATATGGCTATAAAACAGTATCAGAAGATTTCACTGGGTGGATATTTAAAATATTTTCTCTGTACATGAAAGTTAATAATATATATACTAAGTTGGTATCACAAAGTCAGCTTGGGCTCTGATCACGCAAGGAGCAGCACGCAGAAAACCCCAGGGGTCTACACGGAGCCTCAAGGCTCCTCTGCCCGTGAGGAACGCACCGTAACGCTGCAGAACACCTACGGCCCAACACCAGGGCTTAACAAGGGGGGAGCTTTTTAGCTGCCTACACAGTTAACAAGTTTGTCTAGTTTCCATTTTCTTCCTCTTCTGATTTAGTACTAGAATCCTGTTATCTGCTAATGACACATCTATTTATCCCTGAACTCTGTAATACCATACAATTAGTATGCTTCTAGTGAGTACACAATAAAAGTAAAAATTAGGAAGGCAAGAGATGGAAACTTGTTTTCTGTTTAGAAAATCCTGATTAGGGGTTACTTGCATTTCAGCACTTTAAAACAGATTTTAAGCAAAAAAAAAAAAAAAAAAAAAGTCTTTTTGGAATTAGATTACAGTAAAACAGACAAGTAGCACTTAGTTTGATCTGAAGTGGAACACTCAGGCATTAACCTCTCTTCAACTGCTATAGCCTCCATCTCCTCAATGCCAGGGCTGTACTGCAACCGTAACAAACTGCTGTTGCAAAGGCAAAAATCTAGAGGAGCAGCAAGGGAAAAAGAAGAAAAAAGAAAAAAAGTTAATCACACGTTACATTGTTTGACTTTTTTTTTTCCTATTATAAATGAATACAGGAACACAAATGATTCAAAGGTTACCTCCCCCACCCAAAATGCTTAAGCTTAAAATAGGTTTGGGATCCTCTGAAGTTTTCTCATGAACCTCTGTTATACCCCATGTTACTACTTCTAGCTTGCTTGCTTCAGAAGACATTTTGAAATAGAATATGAAACAGAACGTCAGCATAAGTTATAGTACAAAGTAATCATGTGTGTACATACACTGTGTATTTCCATTTTCTCTTATCTAGACTGATCAAACATTAATCTCAGAGTTGTTTCCAAGTGAATGCCTTTACCAGCAAACAACTGAGAAGACATCCCTCTGAACAACAGAACTCTTTTAGTTGCAGAAATACAGAAACAGCTTCAGCTCTGGCCTCCTTGACCAGATAACCAACTATTAGAACAACTTCCTGAGAAATAAAAAATGCCAGGAAGTTGCTATTGCTCAAGGGCTGAACTGAATAGATTTGAACTGCAGGTCATGCCACAGCAAACTCGAATACATAATGTAAACCAGAAGGAAGAAACGATAAACTGAACTGATGAAAAAAATAGTTTCTCATATTGTCCAGTGCTAATGGTAGATTTTGTCTCATAGAACATACAAATTCAATCACAACAGCTTATCTCTTGCTTTCCATAAAAGAGTTAATTTAACAAAGTTTTGAATAGAGGCTACCCATAGAACTATCACTCATCTAAAACAAACATGCATACTTTTAATTACAGTATACAAAAGTAATTTTAAAAGACAAAATGGTAGCAACCTTTTGTTTTTTTCCATGTAGATCACAGGATTGTTTTAAAGAAGTATTCAAAGGATTATATTTTTTTTCCTGTATATCCTGACTTTCTAACTTATACTTTTGGAAAAAATGCAAAGACACTAAAGACAGTAGTTATCTGATTCACCATTTCCCCAACATCTCTTAATCAAAAATACTGAGGCAAGAATCTCCTCCTCCCCTATCTTGTCAGGGATTTGAGGGGCTTGAAGAACTGAATTCTCCCTTGGAAAAATAGTATGGAAAGAGGAAAGGGTCTCTTGGAGTGGCCAGTACCCTGTTGTCAGACAAAACGACTGAAGTGACCATACATTCCGTGGGATCTGAACACGCTGACAAGAACTGAAGAGCTACACTTAAGGGCAGAATTTCAGAGACTTGCTTAGTGTAAAGCTCTCCCTGAATTCAGGCACAGTTAACAAGACACCACGTCTATCCTCATGCCATTCGGCCACACAGGGACCAGATGTGCTTGAGTGTGTTATTGGCAAGTGGATAAGGGTGAGGCCCTCTGCACTTGGAGACTGACAAGGCCACCTCACCCCTTCAGGGACTGGTTTGCCAAACCAAAGGGCTGTTCCTCTTGAAGACAGAATGTGAACCTTCCACCTTACATTCATCAGTTTTTATCTTAAGATGAACTGAAGGTGTTTACTGTGCAAAATTTATAGTGCATTTAGTTATAAGGACAACAGATACCCACAGAAGGTTTTAGAAGCTACTAAGCTTCTAAATACATACATACAGTGATTAAGCTTCCTAATACATACAGTACCATGAGGTATGCAAGACCCTCTGGGTGGTACAAAAAATAATAACAATAAAAGCAGTGGTTTCAGTTCTTGAAGTTAAACCTACTGGCACACCTTCAACGTGCCCTTCCGGGGTCCAGCAGGGAGAAAGCTAGAGCCTGGTCTATTGCCTGACTCAGCTCTGCACACCCACATCACCAGATACAGTGATTCAGTGATGATGCAACTACAGTAAGAAAAATGCAGTCTGAGCTCAGGCTATCAATAAAAGCAGTGCAATCCTTGCCATAAAAGACAACAGGGCTCTTACAGATAACTTTTATGCCCAATGTAGTAAGTACATATCTGGAGCTTCCCAAGGAGCTAGCCCAAGGTTTTTCCCCCCATGGCATGTTCAGGACTATCTAAATGGTATAAAAAAAAAAAAGACAAACCGAAAATTTGAGCGCAGAAGCACGAAATTCACACCTGATGCTTTCCTGAAGGCTCAGTTGTTATCTTTTTCTTCTATTCCAGTAACCAACATTGTTGGTTGTTGTTACAAAAGATCTCATCTAAAACTTATAAGCTGAATTGATCATATATTTAAGAGTAGTGAAGAGTAGCAACTGAACACCTATCACATTAGCACTAGCTTGTTCCAGTATTTTTTGCATGTCAGTGTTAGACACTATTTGCTGCTCTGAAAGATAATCCTTTCTCTCACAGCTCCGCTTTCTATTCTAGCTTGCTGTTAAGCTCCCAGGCTGAATGGTTGGCTACAAGGGCTTACAACGGACTTCCGTTCCCCAGATACAAATATATGAAATACATACCGAGGCTGCTATGCTTATGTTATATTCATGATCAGCTAGAATCGTCTCTTGTGTGGTGGAATTGAATTTGCGGGGAAAGTGATGCAGAGATGTAGTTGCTGCTTGCAGTAGAAAAGCTCCAAAATAAAAGACAAAAGTAGTCCCATGGAAAAGAAAATCCTGAAAAGCAGTTAAACAGAATCAGTCTGGGCTGCAATACATATTTAATTCTTCTGGTCTCAGTACAAATGAAACCCAACACTGAAACATGAAATGAGCACTGATAACAATAACTTTAGATAAGCAGTGTTAAATCCATCCCAGAGCTTAACCTGGACACGTTTTCACGGCTGCTTGCCATTATAAGCAACCCACCAACATAGTTACTGGCAAAGAGCAACTCTCCCTCTCCCCAAACCCTATATTCTTTAAAATTAAGAGGCACATACTCATCTATATGTATATATGATGTCCTTTTAGATCACTTTAAAGCTATTAGAGCTTACAGAACTCTCCCTTCATACAGCTTATTTTTTATCTAAGGGACATACAGACCAACTTTATCATAATTTAAGGAGTACAATATAAGCTTGCAATCCCGCAAATCCCTCCTCAGCTATAACCTAAGCTCCAGAAATACCACCTCCACGCTTGAATTTTGCTTCTGTAAATACCCAGGAACACCTCAGCCTTGACATAGCTGAAATTTACTTCCTGATACAATCAGAATCCAAGAACTGAGGCATTTCGTCAACTCTCTCTGACTTGGCTCCACCCAAAATACAGTAGTTTGAAAGTACTTCATGATACTGTGCAATAAAATGCCTGAGACTTGAGAGGACAACAGTTAGGATTTACTTTAAATATGCTTGTCTCTTGGCCTTCTCTAGGCGATTCCCTCCTCTGTGGCAAATCCTAGATGAACACAATTTCTGGATTCTATTACTGGAGCACATGAAAAAGCAGCTCTGGTACCCAAATCTCTTTGCAGGTTGTATTTCAAAGTCCAGTGTTCCACACAGTAAGATCCAAGATATGTTCCAGTGCAGTTTTAAAATGTCTACAATATCCTTTCAACATCTGCTGCTGCTGCGTCTGCAAAGCTGACATTTGCACTGCACTCAGTTCCCAACTCCATTCAACATACACTAGGTGCTTATACCTATGCAGGCCTGCAAAAGCCAGAAGCACAATTTTTAAAATCATATACAACTATATGTATGTTTTTTTTTTATTATATCCACATAGTCTATCTCCAGCAGTAACTAATTCTTTGTGCACTTTTAATTCCCTGGAGTGCAATGGGCTATCAGTATGCCAAGAGTGAGAACCCTGGGTGCACCGTGTGCGAGCCCATCACGACAGCAGACAGCAGTCATACCCACCAGAGGTGACTGTGCAACACCCTCACCTACTGACCGTCTCACAGCAAAGTGAGAATGTGCTGCATTTCCCTGTTTAGAGAACTGTTTCTTCACAGATGTGAGATCATCTTTTTCCTGAAAGTATTTTCTTTTCAAACTCATCAGTTGTTCCACATTTGACAGCAGCTAAAGCTACTTAAATCACATCCTAGTCGGTTTTGATAAGTTGCGATATAAGCTGCTACTACTGTTTCCCATTCCACTTAGATCAGGAAATAATCTCTTAATTAAGAATCATTTGACCATCTGAGGTTAGCTCATAGCATGTACTGCTTTTCTTAATAACTTCCAATTACTGGGAATCTAAGTTCTGGCAAACCAGTTGCAGTAGCTCCCAACTTATGGTTTTCCATCCTGGCTGGATCATTGAGGTTCTTCTTCCATTTATTAAAAACACCTACTTCCTCCAGGAGTACCACCAGGAGGCCCCATGGAAATCAACAGAACTGAGAGGGGGGTAGAGAGTGGCTTCCAGACATAGTGAAAAGAGGTAGAGAGCCTTCACATGCTAGGCTTGCCAGATCTCAAGCTTTCGCCATAAGACACATTCCCTCAGCATCCATCTCTGCTGTGACATCTGTACCTCATTGCAAAAACCAGTAGAGACCTACTCCAGCGTGACAGTGCTGAAGCACAGGAGAAGCTGCAGCGCTCTGCTGCAGCTGGGGGAGGCACTTCTCCCCACCAGACACTTACTGTCGTGGCTTCCCCCAGCTCACTGGAGCTGGCAGACAGACATGGACATCCTCCATGCCACCACCTACGCACGTCAGACTGCACGCAGGTGTGTGCTCCCCGTGTGACAGACACTGGGCCTCCTACCATGGCCAGACATACCCATTTCATAGCACAGCATTCCAGCAGCCTGGAAGGTCTGTGCAAACCCACGTGTGATCAAGGACATGCATTATTCTTGGGCTGCCAAATACCTAGTGTGCAACTATGTCAGTCTCACCAGCTGTACACTCTGCCACCACCGCTCATGAAGGAACACAAATAGCTCCATCAGGAAAACAGTGCCGACTGCACACAGGAGAGGTATTTTCAGAAGACAAACTCTTTCATTTCCTTCGTTCTCCTGCCAAAGCCTTTAATTTCCTTCTCCTGGCAGCAATTACAGTGAAGCTGTGTAGCATCAGTAGCATCACGTTCATGTGGTGATGGTTTCTGTGACCAAAAACCCCCAGATCTTATGAGGGGGGATTTTTTTGTTTTTAGTGACTGTTAGCATGGTGTCTATTTCTCCCTTGCCTCCACACTTGTATAATCATTGAAACCTCATACAAAGTGTATGGAAAACATTACCAGATCTGCATGATATGTTAGTTCACATCCAATTTTGTAAATGAGCGTGTTGTGAGTCAGGCTGTAAAGGACAGTATTTGTCATACCATCTGGCTAAATACAGTGATGTACAGAGTGATGTATCTCCAGAAGGTCCATATCTCCCCCCATCTTTTCACTCTGTACCATTTTATTTTTTAAGTACCTGTACTGGAGTCAAGGGAGCTACTTATGACATTAAGTGTTACTAACTGCAGGGCTGTCAGAATCCCATGCTATTTTTCAAAATTTCATTTAAACTCTTGGAATGTTAAACCACATTTGTTCATGAATCTCTAAATGAAGCTATAATGCTCCAATATAACTAAGCCATGACTCTTCCCATTTTTGACATAATCTAATGACCTGTAGCTTCTGAGTTACATTGTAAATTTAATTTATAAAATAGCAAAACTCACATATTTATCTAAATACATGCCAACCTAAAACAAACAAGTATACATTTTTATTTTACAGTAATAAAAATAGTTTTAGTGTTTCTAGTGATTATCTATTTGCAACAGAAAGTAAAAATCCTTGTGAAGTGCTGCTAAAGAGTTTACTGCCAAGAAGTTACAGAACATTTGGATACCTGAAAATAGTGATCAAATGATCCACCTAGTGTCATTTTTGTTGACAGCTGGAAGGGGCTGGATTTCAGCTACCATGTTAGAGAGAAAACAATTCACTCTGCATTTATTTAAGATGTTAACTTGGTTATGACATCTTTTTAGGTTAAGTTACTGAGTCCCACAGATACAGCTTTTACAGAAGTCATGTAGCAACTTCCTGACATGGGAAGTTTTTCAGTAATTTATCATATACAAGGGGTCAAAATTAACAGTACAACAAATCACTGCCAGCATCAAGTAGCCAATGTGTAAGACATGTTTACACAGTTGTTATAGGATGAACATTTGTATCACATTTTCAATCGATAAAAGGCTATGCCCTCACCCAGCAACTCTTAAATAGATGCATGATTGTAAATTGGCAAATAGTTTCAATGAAACCCAGGACACCATTAATTTACTTAAATTATGTATATGCTCAAGGGCTTGGTTGCATCACAACTTGTGAGGTTGTCGCAGCATAAGTCCCTGTAAAGGTCTCTGTAATTGTAACTCATTATTAGCCTAATTACTGCCTGTCTTGTGCTGGAAAGCTGGCAATGTATGTCTGTGTATTCACTATAGAAGTGCTCACGTTTGTTTCAATAGACTGTAGTCTGTTACCACTGACGGGCTTTGAAGTTATCAGTTAGATCCCCAAACTCATTAACTCTTTGATTTGCTTTGAAGATCTTTTGTTTTAAGGGACTAAAGGTTATGCTGTCTTTGACTGCCTAAGGTCCAACAGCCATTCGCCAATGTTGCCCTAGCTTTAAGGAATTGACCCAAAAGTCAGCAGAAGACTTTCCTAGGAACTGGAGGAGACTTCCTGGGTGCTTTAATCCAGCCCCTGCAATCTCAGACAACCACCATCACACAATGTGTTCGCAAATGTATCACTTCCTTCTCAACATTAGATGTATCTTTCTATCTCCCATTATTCACAGGGTGTTACTACCACTTCTCTTACAGTCAGAAAACATTTTCCAATTTCCAGTCCGCAATTATTTCTAGCCATTTAAACCAATTTGTTGCCATGCCTTGTTAAACTAGTCCTCTTCCTGCCACTCGTGCATTTCACGTGCTCATAGAGGACAAGTATTCTCCTTCCATCAGTTTCAAAAGCTGGGCTCTCTCAGCCTCCATCATCAAACAGGTCCTGTACTTCCTCCATCACCCCTGTTGCCCTACTCTTTCCTTTTACAGCTTTGAATTCCTCTGTCTTGAGAAACTTTTTGCTAAAACAGAAGGCTGGGCATTAAGACTTAGGATCTCATGACATGATTTTCAGTTTATAAAACAAACGGAATCCTTAAACAAAGAAAAAAAAATCTTACCGTCTGGTTCCAGTTGACAGCAATTCTATTTGCATAACCGAAGAGGAACACACAGAGGAACACAATGGACAGGAACCACGCAGTCACCGCTACAAACATCACCCATCCCTGCAGCAGTGGCAGTGGAATTCGGGTAGAAGCTACCAAAATCCAGACTATTGTTCCAAAGAGCTGCAAGGAAAGAAATACATACGATAAACTGAAAGATAACTTTTATTAGTTCTTAGGCAAAAAGGACAGAATATTACACGTCAACATGTCTTCAGATTACTTTTAGGAATCAATAGGAAACACTTCAAAAGTATTCAGAAAGCCCAAGTGCAGTTCTCAGAAACAATAGGCACTAAGTGGCCGTAAGAGAAGCCACTCTGAAATTCTTAAAAACTCTTAAAATAGTCTTGAAAATGGGATTTACAAACCCAGGTGACTTGCGTGTTGCTGCTCAAAATTTTACCCTTACTCTCATTTTGAGGGAAATGTAAGATGTGAAAACATGGTTCACAAGCACACATTTATATAGGTAATCTTTCTACATATACTAAAATTAGCATGAGAAGGGTGCACATAAGATTTGGATTCAGTCTCATACTGTTTAGTTTTATAGTCCTAATCAGATGAGATACAGAAAAGAGAAGAAACTGCATCCTCTTTTTCAATGCATTTTTAATAAAAAGCTGAAAGAGAACACACTAAGCAATAAAGCAAAAGAGAAAACTGGAAAACAGAACAACGTGAATTGCAAGTCGTTTTGTAATGACTAGAAAAACAAACAGCTTCCCAGACTTATCATAACCTGGGTAAGGATTCAGCACCACCAATTCAGCATGCTGATTGCAGCGCATGAGCGGCAGGGATGCTCTGCTATGATGGGCTGATGGAGAATTTACATACTCTAAGGCTTGCCTGGTTTAATCAGCTCTTGGGCTAACACAGGGTACTATTTCTCCCCGCATATCCTGCCTCTTTATAAAAAAGGATAACTGGAGAAAATCATAATTGCCATCTGAAGTATGCTCATTTATAAAAAAAAAGGTTTAATTTCATAATCCAACCTGCTGTGTAGTGACAGCTACAATCAATTTCCAAGCAAGTTACTACCTTCCTGTTTAAATCCTACAGATTTACAACTACAAAGTTGTAAAGAGGTTACATTTTCAGCTTCAGAGAACTTTATTTTGAGTAAAGGTTGGATGAAAGATACCTTTAAAAGGTGCCTGCAGTAAAACTAATTGGTTCCTCTCATGCTACATTGCAGCAGCATGTATGTAAAGATGCATTGCTAGTCTCAGTTCAGAGCTCCCAAGGGTTTATGTATTAGCCTTCAAGTTGTTCTCTAGATTTCCTTTTTTAGCTGCTGTGAAGAACCAAACTTTCTCTAGTCTCACAAGACTGCAGGTGCAAGTCTGTTACTCAGAGACCATAGCGATGGGCAGTGAGGAAGCAGAAGGGACAGCAGAAAGCGTCTGTTAAACAAAAAGCAGAGACACATCAAACGTCTTCAGTATTTTGAACGTGCAACCTTGCAAGCTTCTTTAAAAATAGATTTAGAAATCCAGCATAGAGACTGCGAATCTCTGCACTCACTGTGCCATTGCCTCACACTACACCTGTCCACTTCAGCTCGGATGTCAGATGTATAATAGGTTGGCCAACCTAATTAACCTTTTGTCCCTCCTGACCGTGGGCCTGATTTGGGGCCTGGGCTTGTCCTCTGGGCTCTTTCCTGGGGTGCACTTTTCCAGCTGGCGGGGTGGGATCCACCTCACAGACTGGGACCCGGGCAGCACTCAGCTCCGACACCAAAACCAAAAAATATTAATAGAAACAGGCTTACAGACTTACAGCACACGCACACTGACAAAATAAAAAAAAAATAGAACAAACAACCCAGCCTAACTCTCAATGGTGGGTTTTTGGATCTGGGACTCTGCGGCTCAGAGTCCTCAACAGGTGACACAACCCCCGGTGCGACCCATCTCCACGGGCCTCTCGGTGCCACTGCCCGGCCCGAGGGGCGCAAACAGGCCGGAGGGAGCAGGGACGGGTCCCCTCTGCCCTTCCCGGCAGAGTCCCGCGTCCCGGGCACCGGCGCCGGGGCGGGAGCGGGGCGGCCCGGGAGCTCCCCCGCTGCCGCCGCCGCCTCGGCCGCCCGCACGCTGGTGAGTGTATATGGGTGGGGGGGGGCCGGAGGTGTATAATGGGGCGAGGGGAGGGGGGCCCTCGGTGAGGAGGGAAGGGGTGGAAACGGAGCCGACAAAATGGCCAGGCAGTCACCGGAGCCCGCTCTAGGGACATCCCCTCTCCCCCCCGGCGCCGGGCAGGGCTGCCGCCCGCCGCCTCGCCTCGCCCGGGCCTGGGCGGGCGGCCCCGGGGTGCCGGGGACCGGCCAGGCCCCCCTTCACCGCGCCCGGTGGGAGGCGGCGGCGGGACGGGCTGGAGGGCCCCGATCCCCCGAGGAGCCGGGCCGTGGCCGGCCGGTGGCTTTGGGCTGCCCCCGGAGCGCTGTGTCGGCAATGGGGCGCAGCGTTTCTCCTTCACAAACTCCAGCCAGGCTTAGGGAGTCGTTTCTTCGTGTCAGCTCGCGAATGGTTGCGATTTACCTTCTTATTGAGATTCTGGAGCGGGTCCAGAGAAGGGCAACGGAGCTGGTGAGGGGCCTGGAGAACAAGGGTTATGAGGAGCGGCTGAGGGAGCTGGGGGTGTTCAGCCTGGAGAAAAGGAGACTGAGGGGAGACCTTATCGCTCTCTACAATACCTGAAAGCAGGCTGTAGCCAGGTGGGGGTCGGTCTAGTCTCCCAAGTAAAAAGCAATAGGACAAGAGGAAATCACCTCGAGTTGTGCTAGGGGAGGCTTACTTTGGATATTAGGAAAAAAAAATCTTCACCGGAACCATTCTCAGGCATTGGAACAGGGAAGTGGAATCACCATCCTTGGAGGTATTTGACCTGTCCGTTCCAAACTAGACAGTTCTATGATTCTGGTTACAGATATTTGAGGCTTCAAAATTACGAGGTTGCACTTTCTTTTCTTTTTTTTAAAGGAACCTACTAGGTTGCCCATTCAAAATAGCAAAACCATCTAATGTGTATCTTCTTTTCATTCAATCTGACTCAACCATGCATAACTACTGAAAAGTAATAGAAAATGTTTGTTTGATGTAAACGTTTTGGGTAGGTGAGGGTCTAGAAAGTTACGTGTTCATCAGACCAATTACAATACATTTTCTCATGCTTCTGAGTGTAAATACCTTCCCTGGATGAAGGATGTGGCATCGTCCAGCATTTTTGTTATTTCTCCTTGTGTGGCTTAGGATGGGGTGTCGTGTCACTACAATGACTAAGCACTGTTCCAGCCCACGTGATCCCATGCACTCTTTCCAAGTGTTCATCCTCAACAATTTTAAAAATTACATTTAAAGAAGGTTTCATACAAGTGTATGCAGCTGCTCTGGAGGCTGATCCAGCTACAGCGTTAACACTGTATTCCTTTATTTTTAGTTGTGTGATGTCTCTCAGTTTTGTTTTTATGATGACAAGAAACACCCCAACCTGAAATGTCTGTCATCCCCACCCCAACGTGAGCTCTAGGTGGGGAGCAGCTGGCTCCTCTAAACACAATACATCTGTGTTTCCAGCACACCTCATACACGCGTAGGTTTGGGACACTTCTAAAATGAAACAGTAGACTCTTAGCTTTCAAATCATGGCTGCTCAAGGATTACCTGGTTTGCCCAAATCATGACAAAGGAGGAAGAAGCAGCAGTTTGTATTCTTTCTTGTGCTCTCTCCTAATCCCTATGGCCCTTGAAGCTGAATGCGCTCTTAAGAAGTGGGAGATGTGGGATTGAATCCCCGTTAGTCTAAGGAAGGCTCTGAGCCCCGCCTCCCCTCTTTTCTGAGTGCTTTACCCCATAAGTTATCAAAGAAGAATATGGATACCTCTTACTCCTCCTCTAGACCTATTTTAAAAGTGAACCTTGTGCCCCATCCATTTATCTTCAGGGAAGGTCTCCAGCCTCTGGAAGGGAATGGGATTCAGGCTTGTGCCTAAGTGATTAGGTGTAGGCGGTTCGTTCTTGGGGTTGTATTCTGAAGACTATATGTCCAATTAGCTTCACAGTCTGGCCCTAAATCTGTTGTGACTGCCCTGTAGAGGGAGAAATGTGAGTGGGTGGAAAACTGGGTTGATCAGTTTATGATTCGGAACAAGAAATGTGATTATCCTTATACAGAGGATGTACAAATAATACTTGGTCATAAACATTTCCAGTTTTATTATTCAGCCATGCAATTAATCTGTGTGAACTTCAGCAGCAGCGGATTTTACTGATGATTACATACTATGTGCAGTCATCTTTTCTTGCTTGTAAATACCATTCCTTTTAACCTGTACATTCCTTTTAACACTGATTCTCTTGAATTTTAGGAGGTTTTCACAGTAAAGTCTAAGTTTTGCTGTTAGATGTATGTATATACAAATAGCCTTAAGGTAGGTTTATGGCAATACCTTTTCCTAAATCCTAATTGTTTAAATGAAAGTAGCTTTTAAAATGATTTTTATTGGTAGGATTTGCTTCAAAACCATGTGGGATTCTTCATATACTGTTTGAATCTTTAAAAATCTGGAGTCTTTCAGAGACTGGTCTCAAGATTGCGTTTTTAAGTTTCCATGGCAAAAGCCCATGTTTGTGCTGGACTGCTTTTTAATAGCATTTTAATGTAAATGATTGCATCTTGGCAATAGGGTAAACTAATGATGCTGCTTCAAGTCCACCAGAGTCAACAAGTAGACAGAAGTGTATTGATTCACTGTATATAGGAAGGTCTGTCTATACAACCAAAAGGACTAAAAACCTCTCTTAAATGACTATTACATAAAGTTCAAACTTCTTCCTCTTCATGTTCTTATACTTATGGCAACCTAACATAAAGTTGGCGTTGTCACAGAACTGCAAAAACAGTTGATACCATTTCGAGATGATAAAAATTACTGATTACTTAAATTCCAAGTATAGTGATGTAATATGTGCACATCTTTAATATATATTAGAAATTAAAATATATGGTTCTAAGTGTTGTAATTTTCCCCTTCCCCCAAGAGACCAATCATTAGAAAAATGCACTAAATCATGAAAATCCATAGTTATCTATTGGCCGTTACCTATAAATTCTCGGGATTAAAAGAGATAAATTAAGATTTTGAAAAAACATAGACATACATCATGCTGGATATGAAAACTACTTATACAGCTGTCCTATGGAGGAAGATCCAGACTACCTTTTGTTATGTTTGGCATGACAGTTCTGGAAGAGCTGAATGTTTTATGGATACTAGAGTAACAGGTGAAAGTAGCATAAATATAAGAAGGCATGGTCCCTAATACCTTCTCGGAGTGTGTTACCAGAGGCCCCTCTGGAAGCAGATGTAACTCTGCTCATCTCATGCCTGGTGTTGCAGCGTGCCCA